CGCGGGCCAACAGTCTATAGTGGATTCTTTGTTTTTGCACTACAAATTCTATCAAGTGTATGAACATTCAGAAAATAGTGGATTAAAAACATATGTGAGTTCACTTGTGTCACTGACTACTAGAAGACCTTTCCTCAAAGTTTCAATTTGTAGAAGAATTATTGAGAAACTTAGAATGGTGATTACAAACATATATGATAGGTTCACTACTGTGACCAACTATACTTGAAAACCTTTTCTTGAAGTTCCAATTTGTAGAGAGAATATGAGACTACAATTTCGGCATATCAGAGAAACCAGAAAATCGATCATTTTCATCTGGCTTTTAGGTTGTTTCTCATTTCGGGGACATGATTGATTACTTGCACCGGTCGCACAACGACGACCAGATTCATCGAATACAGAATCTCTCAATTTGAACAATATAATTTTGTAAAGTGTCAGTACAGGACTGACTAATTTGAGAGGTTAGATAATCATGAACTCTTCTTCTTCATGAAAAAATGGCAAAATCGATACCTAACACTTAAGAAATGAGTTGAAGACAGTGTTGTCAGCTCAAAAATTCTCAATCTCGCTATCACTTGAACTTATAACCAATCTTGCAGTTACTCTGCAAACAGAATACATAACTTCATAGCAATATTGTTATATATTATGATCATAACAATATTGTTATCTTAGCAATGTTATAACAAGATCCGAACAGAATCGACCCGATTGTCATCATTTTATGATTAAGAATTTGAACTAATATACAGTTTGTTTCGAATATTTTTTTTTAATTTGGAAAGTTCGAATAATTATGACAGTCGTAGGCTGCTTGCAATGATGTCATGCATAGGACAGATGAATATGGGAATCGTATGAAGCACGCCATACTTCATTTACCACCATGGCTGAACCCAAGGTTTGTAATTGAATCTAACTTCCTCTTGGCTCCTTGAACCCATAGGTCCTCTTACCTTAGGTCCTATTCCAGGTCAGATCAATAACATTGATCCATGATTTACTGAAGGCACCCAGTGTTAACACCTGTGTATTTCTTCACCACCATGCCTCATTATAAACCCAGTTTGTAGGAGCAGCTGAATAATTAGTAGATTGTTTTATTAGGATCAAAAGTGGCACTTTGTTTGACAAGCGAATTTTGCATTTGCGAGGCGGAGCGTTTAGCGAAGCCGAGCGAAAGCAAAATTTGCGAGTCGAACAAAGTCACTTTTGATCCGAATGAAACATGCTATTTTTTCTGCAACCGAAACAATGAACTCAAATAAACATGTGAAGTAACCACCAATGCCGTGCCATATGTATGCAATGCAACAAATATTGACAAATAATCCATGTGGTGAGAATATTTTACCTGCATTAACAGCAGGTTAGGTTTTCTAGGATGTTCGAATTGTAGTTTCAATATAAATACAACCACAGAGTGACATATTTGTGTATGGACCAGGTGCTCTAATGGCAAATACCGCGCCAGTGCCAGGTCGTATAGGAACAAGACGTGGAAAATGTTAGGTTAGTGAGTATATCAACAATGATAATAGTGATTATTTATTCCTCACCATACTACACTGTGTTTGACTTGATAATCAAATGAAGCTAGACAATATCGTTGTTTGAGACAAAAAAACTATTGCTTGCCGTGATTATTCAAAAGCAAGTCATCCATCCCGAGAATAACGAATGAAATACAGATCAAGCAAGTATTTGAATCTTGAAGGCTTCCCTGATCAAAACAAAAATACTTAGATGAGATGTTTATAATTCCAATACCAAACTATAATAAGGTGTATTTATATCTCCAGCATGGGTATGAAATGCCAAATCTGCTGAAATGGGAAACAAATCAGGTATGCGTCTCAACCCAAATAACCAACCGTCACAATGTTGTTTATTCTTGATGACTTCCAGTACATCCTTTTTAGTTCCTAGGAGCTGAAGTTCAACTCTAGCTCCTAGGAACTAAAATTCAACTTTAGCTCCTAGGAACTAAATATGTTGCCTAGCAACATACCTATTTTTGTGTCAGTAATAGAAACGTCAATTTAAGAGCTAATTTTGGTATCAAAATGGACGACTTTTGTGCCGGTTGCAGAAAAAAATCTGTAGTATTGTCGCATCTCAGATGTTGACCTTCCTATAGGTCGTGATTTAGCTACTCGCTTGGCTTTTTGACGAGAGGTTCTGATCATTTCACCACCCAACCATATTCATCCCCAAATAAAGAGACCAGACAGTTTTCATATAAAATGAACATTTATTGATTAAATGAAGAGGGCATGAATAAATGCTGCCACATGACAGGTTAGCAAAGAAAAAAGAACATAATGGCTTGCCAAATAAACACAAAGCGAAACAACACTTGAAAAAAAAAACGGTACTCACATTATTACGTCAAGCAAGGGGTTCACCAGCAGGCTTGAAGTCGGGGAGACGACGAACATTTTCAATTGATAATCACTAAATGACTTGTGTTGATGATGAATGATGCCTTATCGACTCGGGTACTATTTATATTCGGAATCGATGTTTGGTTCGCAATTTTCCTCAATGGGGATGGTCGTTACCTTTCAATACTGCTTACCTAGGTATTATCGCGCGGTAAGCGGTTTTTTTGCAAATTATAAAGGAACTGACGTCTATGAACTCCGCTGACTTGATCGAAACTACAATGTACTGACTGTACTTCTTGACAGTATTATCAGTAGATTCTGTTCGAAAAGTGCCAAAGTAAGACTCTCCTGGACTACAGCATTCTAACCCCTTACAAGTCCTGCTTAGTATTTTGTTTCTACAATGCTGTTTCGGTATCATATCATCACGAACATTGCACGAACACTTCTTCATGTGAACCTTCATGTGGATCCATTAATATAATTGCGAATTCCAATTGAAATAAGGAAGTTTCAGAAATATTGTTGGTTATTCATTGGCTACCAAGCAGCACATTCAGAGGAAGAATGGTAGATTCCAACGATCTCGATCTCTGATCGGTTACTAAGTCGTCAATAGTTGCTATAGTTTTGAATATGTAAAGTCTTTTCCCAATGATAACATACAGAGAGTTTTATTTCTTTTCGCCTTAATTTCCCTATTGTTTCTCGTAGATGTCTATCTGTTTGCTGGGTAAGGTGGAAGAACAGACATTCTAAACCCCTTTCAGGATTCTAGAATGAATTGAACCTCGCCATTTTTATTATTATTATTATTATTATTATTATTATTATCATTATTTCAGAGAAAATTTATTGATGGTATGAAATTGTGTTAGACCACATCGGAAGTAGAGTATAAATAGAGGGATGGTATCAACAAACATATAATATTTCGTTACCACTACACTTTGGAACTCCTTTGAAGGAGAAGCTGGAAGTATGATGGTTCTTCTGCAATCGGCTCAGAAGTTGTCCATTTTTGTTTCAAAATTAGCACTTGAAGTTGACGTTTCTCTTACTGGCACAATCAAATGATTGAGATATATTTTGCTTGGCAACACTGTTAGTGTCTAGGACCTTAAGTTGAAGTTTGACTCCTAGGAACTGAGAACCATATACGTATTAATAATCAATACGGATAATCTCTATCTGTTTCCATAGCGAAACATGAAGCCGATTTTTGAAGACAAATGACTACCGATAAGGAAAATTGAGATACGATCAGACACATACTGCTTTGATTGAAAGGCTAGTAAACGTCATTGTCCACCGAAACGCATGTCTTTGATGACTACGTATCATGCCACCAAATCCTTATGGATATTCATTTGTTTCATATTTTTCGCTTCATCCTGGCACCCGTTATGATCCGTATTGTTTATTAATACGTATATGCTGAGAACGTGTCGGATGACAGCTTATATGAGAGCTGCTTTGACACTGATATCCTCATGCAGGGGACTCAAAATAAAGAAAACTTCACTTATATTTCATCAATATCAATTATTCCGATTGCAGAAAAATAGCATCTTTCATTCGGAGCAAAAGTGACTCTGTTCGAATCGCAAAATTTGCGTGCTCGGCTTCGCCTTTGCTCCGCCCCGCAAATATCGCTTGCCAAACAAAACATCACATTTGATCCTAATGAAACAATGAACTATTTGTGGCTCATTCTCCAAAATAACGAACATTGATTGGAGGTAATATTGAAATATTTTCAGTTTTCCTATAAATTTCAATATTATAAGATTACACACTATATCCTATGATGTTTGATTGATTTATCATCACCTATATATAGTTACGTATTCTGTTCTATCTGAATCTACTAAATTCAATATACAAATATTGAGGCATTTCCTGTTATTGTGCGGGCATGGCAATTTTGTTTCAAAATGTCATCTCAGTATAGATTATGAAGAATTGTTATGATTCCTAAAAATATATTTGTTTCAGACCAGTGATCTATAACATAATGAGAAATTTGGTCGATTACCTTGATATTGAGAGTATAATTAATGATTTTGAGGTTGAAAAACATTGTTTCCGTTTTGATTTCCATTGCCTCCCAGACAGCACTGGATATTCCTAGAATATTATCTGAATATGATGAAAGAAGATTATTGGACATAGCCCTCAGGAAGAGTCAACCGCAGACACGTGTTATGGAATATATAGGGCATATTCCTTGTGAATATTCTAGGAATATATATATTCTTCCCCACCAGCACATTCAGGGAATATTCCGTAGAAGATATGTATATCCCTGGCATGTCCATGAATATTTCCAATATCCAGAAACAATTTATGAATATTCATGGAATATCTGGTGCTGTCTGGGCTGAGATTCCATCAGTTTCGATCTAATGAAGATTTAGGACAGTCTGCAAATGTGGAGCTAATTTAGATAACATCTGACATTTGTGTTCTTTATTGCCAACATCATAATATGATATGCCCAACATTTGAAAATATGGAATAGGAGCTCGTTAAGATAAGGATATTAGGAAGAATATAATTTGATTGTTCACAAATGAAATGTTTGGTAATGCATATCAGTTATTTTTGTGGTCCTGCCCAATATCCGTACAATCTGGAATTGCAACAGAGCCTCACAGTCAGGAAATAAATAGCTTCCATTAGTGACAGAACCGAAAATCCTGTGAAAAGCCCAAGTAAGCCACCAAAGTTTGCCAGGAAGTCAGTGGGGCCATACAACTCGTGTCTTTGAGAGGTAATGAACTGGGAGGACTTGAAGAATAGTATGAGTTTCGATACGTACATCCTGAAAATTACAACAAACTGATTAGTAAATCTGGAACAGAGGCATATCAAGGGAGTAGGAAGAAAGGCAACGAAGGGGCCACTGCCTTAGGCTGATTTATGATAATTGAACACTAAGGTCAGCAGCTGAAAAAATTATCTAGATTCTAAGATTCATTATTATTCTCGTACCAACTGATGATTACAGGGTGTTCCTCAATATTATGTAAATACTTATATGATAATAAAAATATCATTTATTCGTGAATAACAATACAAAAGATATTTGAGATATACAGAAATATTGAGAGAGTAATGAGTATAAATAACATGAATAAACGATAATCCTCGATAACTGATGAAAACACTTGTTCCGAGAAACATATTATATAACTATATAAAAAACTAATAATGATAACGATTATTGCGGTCTATACATCACAAAGAACAAAAACATATACAGGGTGTCAATTTGAAAACTTTCCACCCTCAATATCTCCCTCCAAGTCGATAATATGGAAAAACGAAAAGACAGGTCGATTTTATTTTCGAGGGGGACACTTCGAATGAATCATTTTGACCCTCATGGTTCAACCCCCTAGGAGGGGTAGATGTTACCCTCAGAATATGAATAGGGAAGAGGGGTCAAGTGGCACATCATTTTGAAGGGCGTTCAATTCTCTTTCCAACGGTACCCTACTTTACTATTTTTTGACGAGTAATTTCTGAAAAATAGCGTTCTAAACCTACAGAAGTGATCTAAACTTGCCTGCACAAAGATGCATGATTTTCAGGTTAGTATTCGAACAGATATTTTTGTATTGATTCTCCTTTCAGTAAAACTGGACAGGAAAACAGGTAACAACCTCACATCTTTTCAACAGGGGCAACATAATTAGCCATCAGCTCCAATAAATCAACATCAATAATCTAATAGTGACATTTCGATGATAGCTTATTTGCGTTTATCATTGGATTTTCAATTCTACAGATGGCCTTCCTTTTTTGTTCCTTTCTTGCCACTGCTGATTTAAAAAAACTCTGTTTTTTGAGCAAAAAATTGTTCAGCAAATTCAAACGATCTGGTAGTATTATTGATTGATGAGTTTTATTTGTTGAGCTAATCAGTAATACGTTCATCCAGAGTAGGTACCTATAATTGTGAAAATGGTTTACACTCTTTCAAATAGAACTGAAATGATTGTGATTTATGGAGAGGCTGGAAAGTGCGCACGAAGAGCGGCATTTCTTTTTAATGAAAGAAATCCAGATTGTAATGTTAGTCACCGGTATGTGCTTGATTTGGTGGAAAAGTTTTACGAAACTGGTTCGGTGAAAAATAAAAAAAGGAATAATCCTAGAGTACTGAATGAAGAAGCTCAAATTGAAGTTTTGGGAACATTTGCTGCAGAACCTACTAGCTCCTTACGTTCAGTGGCAGAACAGACGGGAATGTCACACGAGACTGTGAGAAAAGCACTGAAATTACATAAATTTCATCCATATAAGATGCAGATTCTTCAAGAGCTCCATGAGGATGATTATGATAGAAGAATAGAATTTTGTGAAACGATGTCAAATCGAGTCAATGCCATCCCTAATCTATCATTAAATATCTGTTTCAGCGATGAATGTTCATTTTTTCTGAATGGAAATGTGAATAGACAAAATTGTCGCTATTGGAGTGACGAAAACCCTCACATTTTTCGAGAAGGACATACACAACAACCACAAAAAATTAATGTTTGGGCTGGTATTCTTGGAAATGCCATTGTTGGTCCTTTATTCATTGAAGAAAATTTGACTGGAAATCTGTACCTAGATATGCTTGAAGATACTATCGATCCTCTTATAACTCACGAGCTAGAAAATCAAATTGATGCAGACGGTAATTGACTTCTGCAGGAGGATCTGTTACATTTCCAGCAGGACGGTGCCCCACCTCATTATTTTCTTCCTGGCCGACAGTGGTTAAATGACAGATTCCAGGATAGATGGATTGGCAGAAGGGGAGCAACTGAGTGGCCTCCGAGATCACCGGATTTGACTCCTTTAGATTTTTTCCTTTGGGGACATCTTGAATCCGTCATTTACAAAACACAACCGACGGATATTGATGAACTCAAAGGACGAATTACAGCAGCATGCCGCTCGATGGTCGTGAAGTTTTCCAGAATGTTAGAGAGGAGTTCGAAAACAGACTTTATTACTGTTTAGAACAAAATGGACAACATTTCGAACAGTTTATAAGATAGTACGTGAATAGATGTTTGAAATTTCTATCTGGCACTCTGAAAGTTTTTTTTCAAAGTAATATAACCAACAAACAAAAAATCAAACGTGTGTAGACTAGATTTGTATCTATTGTAACGATGCCACCTAACCTTCTAACCATTTTCATCAATGGAAGATTCAAAACAATAATTTTCGTCCTGAAGACAATGTATCTGAGTTAAGGCAAGTTCTAATCACTGGTTATCAAAGAATAGTAAAGTAAGATATACCGTTGAAAAGAAAGATATTATGTTGCCCCTGTTGAAAAGATGTGAAGTTGTTACCTAATTTCCTGACTAGTTTTACTGAAAGGAGAATCAATTCAAAAATCTCTGTTCAAATACTAACCTGAAAATCATGCATCTTTGTGCAGGCAAGTTTAGATCACTTCTGTAGATTTAGAACGCTATTTTTCAGAAATTGCTCGTCAAAAAATAGTAAAGTAGGGTATCGTTGGAAAGAAAATTGAACGCCCTACAAAATGATGTGCCACTTGACCCCTCTTCCCTATTCATATTCTGAGGGTAACATCTACCCCTCCTAGGGGGTTGAACCATGATGGTCAAAAATATCAATTCAAAGTGTCCCCCTCGAGAATGAAATCGACCTGTCTTTTCGTTTTTCCATATCAACGACTTGGAGGGAGATATTAAGGGTGGGAAGTTTTCAAATTGACACCCTGTATATTAAACGATAATATGAAATCAAATTCGCATCGCATAGGTAACTTATATGTTGAATAGGTTTATTGATGATCATAATGATGACATTAATGATATGAATATTTCCATCAGATAGCAAATATACTTGTGCAAGTACCATCTCAGGAGTTTCATATTACTGATGCCTTCAAGGTTAAGTAGTAACTGAAGACACACGTGTCTGCTGACTTGGCATCCTCAGAACTTAGATGATACATCGTTGCACAGTGAAGAATCAGTTCTACTCAAATCAAGCTCTAGTCAACATCAAATTTTTTCATCGCAGTTTATTTTCATTGATTCTATTCAAATTTAAGTTCAGTCAAATGAATTGTTTTCAAAGATTTATAGTGCTTCAAGTGATTTAACATATATAATGATGATAATATTGATGAAATAAACCTCTGGTGTACGCACTTCAATCCTTTCCTGTTTTACAATTCCTTGATTGTCGCCTTCTTCGATGAACATAACATGGCGTGGGTGGATGTCGCTAAATTTAGTCTGGTGCCGTACCAAAATTACAGGCATCAATGTGACAATTGTGACCGAATTGTGACCAATGAAGATAGGGAATACATTTTGCGATTTAGCCGCATCAAGGTAGAACTGATGTTGATCATAAATTCTAAGAATCACGCCATCTAACATTCGATATGTGAACCCCACGTCATCGTCTGAAATTCAATTGTTTATATCAAGAACCAGTCTGACGAAACAAATGAAGAGTGAGCGCACCAGAGGTTTATTTTATCAATATGATAATGATGATACTGATGTATACATATAATGACAAAAATTATATAAAAAGTTATGAAACGTTATAAGAAATATATTATGGTTACGAGCTGTTGGCTCTCATCAGTACAGGGCTGTCCCAGATAGCTTCTTGACCGCTATCTGGTGCGAACCTGACCAAACATAAACACATCTCAGCATTTATACCCCACGAGGCGTTTATAAGCGATCCGAAGGAACGACCCTGTATTTCATGTTCGTTGGGTGTTGATTCACTATGGGTTATGTAAGGAATAACGGCTGGAGCGAATGAGCTGGTATGGAATTTGGGATGATAGGAGGCGAGTCAGTATGCTCAACGCGTTCAGTGGGTGATAAACTGTAGTACCTCTTTTTGTTTTTCAATATACTTGTTCATTTACGTTTTCGGGTTTTTCTGAGTGTTAGTCCAATTTAGCTGTTTATAGTTCAGGTGTGGTGGTGAACACGTGCCTACGATAAGCAAGTCACTATTATTTGAGTGTGTTAAGTGTTGATAGAGTATACAGAGTCAACAGGGTGTTCACTATAATCACGAGACATGGGCAAACGTGCCAGGAACCAAAGGAAATCATCCAGCTCGAGCAGCAGTTCTTCCTCTAGCGAGGAAAGATATCGAAGAAAGAAGGGTGATAGGTACCGCCAAGAAAAAGAAGTCGAAGTGGATGTACACGCAGTTCCATCACGGGTGAGTGCAGTGAGAACAGTGAGGGAATCACGAAGACGTTCGTTGACTCCCCCACGTTCTGACCATGGGCATTCAAACAATAGAATCGAACGACTGGAACGTCTGGTCGAACAATTGACTAACCAAAATAGAAATAAGGATGCCATACGAATGACAGTACACGGCGACTGCATTCCTGAATTTTCCCCCGACCGTCTGAACCTGACTGCGAATCAATGGCTGGATAAAATCGATCAACTGAGGGGGATCAACGGCTGGAATGTCGTGAAAACCATTTATTTTATGCTATCGCAGCTGGTTGGTATGGCGAAGAGTTGGTATCACTGCTTGTCCAACTATAACTATACTTGGGATGAGAGGAAGCTATTGATTAGGGAAACATTCCCAGATGATGTCGATCATGCTACAGCCTTGCGTAAAATGTTGAACCGCCTGAAACTACCAAACGAAACTATGACCACGTATAACTTCGAAAAAATGGAATTGATACGAACGTGCGGAATGACCGGCAAGAAAAGTGTGTCTTGCCTAATAGATGGATTGGTTGATGCGGTCATACAGAATGGTGCCAGAGCCGGACGG